AGAACAAAAGGGTTTGTTTAGCAAATCGTGTGTTTTTGAAATCAGAAAGTACAAAGGGAAATTGATATTCACACCACTGCTACTTCTATACCTTGCTTAAAGAATACATTTGCTCACGAGTGATATAGAGCGAGCAAAATCTGCTGAACGTCTTCCTTGCAGCTTTCAAGAAATGAGTATTAACAACAATTTTAGAGACATTAAATTTTAAAACAAAGGAAAATGCTGACAAAATGCCTGAGTAGGGCAGTGATCAGAGAAGAATAAGGACAGATGGGCGACTCTATAGTTCCTTAGAGGGATGTGTTACGTAGTTCAGAGAAGACAGCTGATTCCCAAAAGGAGTGGGAAAACCAACTGACTTCAATCATGGACTTCCTCCCCACGCTCTTTATTCCTCCTATGCCTTGGGTGCCTCTCAACATAAAATATTACAAATGGGCAAGAACCATTCTGTGATTCACCAAGAAATAATCATTTTAGAAAAACAACACACACACATGCACACCTGCACACACTACACACACTGACCTATCCAAGAAGGAAACCATAGAGAATAGGGAAGAAGAAATGTGTCTACCTTACTGAAAAGGGTTCACCAGTTACTTTTTTCCTCTCATTTTTTTCTGCTCTAGAAGAAACTATGATTTTTATCGGAGTAGAGAACTTTCAATGAAGAAATTCCCTCTATTAATGCAGACCAGCAACCCTTCTGTATCTTATAGTTTTACAGAGGGATGTTGGGGTACTGAGAGGTTAAATGATTATCCAGGCTCATACATCCCAGACAGTGTGTTCAGCAGGAACAAACCATAAGAGCATACATCGGGAGCTGAAAGGGACCTCAAAGGTACCTAGTCTAATCTCCTCATTTTACAGATAAGGAAACAGGCCTAGGGAATTCAACAGAAGCTGAAATTAAACAGATAAGTACCAGGAATAGGATTTGAATCCAGATCATATGACTCCAGAACTAGCTTCCTTTCCATCTTACAAGGCTATCACTCCAGTCGGTTCAAAAAGGTATAGATGAGGACAGACACCATTCCAGGCATAGAGGACAGCTAAAGTAACATCATGGAGTTGGGAGATGGAATGTTATGTGTATGGAACAGTGAGTAGGCCAATATGGCTGGACCACAGAGTGAGGGGAGCATTGTGTTAGAACACTAGAAAGGTAGGAAGGAGCCATAAGCACTTTAAATGCCAAAGGAGCTCATACTTGACCTTTGAGACAAGGAAGCCAGTGTAATTTGTTGAGTGGGAGGAGAACATGATCAAGCCTGAGCATTTGGAAAATCACTTTGGCAGCCTGAAACCAGCTCTTGATCCCCTATAGCAGCAGTGTCAAATAGAAACAGAAGCCACTAATCCATACATAAACATCCCAGCAGGTCACATATCAACTTAGTTTTGAAACTTAATGTTATCTAATGTTTTATTGTATTTTTATTTTGTTACATATTTTCCAATTACATTTTAATGTGATTCAGGAGTGTTGTGGACCACTATGTTTGGCACCTCTGCCCTCTACCACCTGCCTCTCTTCCTCTAATTTAATTCTCTATTTTTTCCTTGAGGGGGAGGAGGAAAACTTTAAAACTATGGATACATACATACAGTAGATTTAGGGCTCTTTTCATTTGCTCTGACTCTCTGTCAAGTGTTTCTTGACATAAGGGTCCCAGGTTTGAAGAACTAAACCCACAATGGGAGCCCTCACAAATCACAAGAAATGGGACAAGCATGATCATTTGTCATGGCATGGAGACAGAAAGCCACCCAGCAGCCACGCTGATAAACAGAATGAACCCGACATTCATCTCCTTAATGGGACATTAATGTCTCCAACTGGCTGCGCCCGCCCCAGTGTGGAATCTGACTGTGGCACCTTCTAATTGCCCGAGAAAGCCAATAATTTATAGAGTGGGCTCTTTAATGGCTGCACAAATCTACCCAATCAATTTGGTGCCTTAATTGAAATTTGTGGCTTAACAAGAAAAATCATGCAGATGCCCCATTTGGACATGCTTCTACATTTAGCTGCACATACAGGTCAGTGCTTCGCTTGTGGGGTTATGCCTAGAGACATGGCCGAGGACCATTAGTTTATGTCAGATGCAGAAAACAGCTACACATTCAAACATACGGGACCGTGGTGAGACTTAAGTGAAAGAATAGATATGATGCACTTCACAAACCTTAGAGCACTATATAAATGCCAATTATTGTTATTATTAGCCTCTAGTCATCAGGCATCCAACCTGGTGATGACTTCATTCCCTGACTCCTTATTGTGTACTAGCACTCCTACTAAGCTCAAGACATATTTACAAAGCAATATAAGGTGTGCTGGTAAATGTTTAACACCCAGGCATTCTGGGGGAAAAAAATCAAGCTGTGATTTGTAGTGATTGCTAATTTCTAAGTGAGTTCAAATCTGGCCCCAGACACTTACTACCTATGTGACCCTGGGCAAGTCACTTAATCCTGTTGGCCTCGGTTTCCCCACCTATAAAATGAGCTGGAAAAGGAAATGGCAAACCACTCCAGTACCTTCGCCAACAAAATCCCAGATGGGGTCACGAGAAGTTGGACATGACTGGAAAATGACTGAACAACAACAGCAAAAATGCTCACACTGAAAATTTAACAATTGGCTCTTGCAAGCTAGTTAGAGTTGCTTCTGACATACCTCTGCAAACATCCATGGCGACCCCTTTCCTCATGTACCCTCCATTCTATCCCTAAAGAAACAGAAATAGCCCTGACTCAAGATCTAAATCTGTACATCCATGTCTAATTAGTTCCCCTGATTACAGTTTGGTCCTAATGAGGTCAGTATCATGGAGCCTTTGTGAGCTAGTTGATTTCACTCCATGCCTCAGCTATAGACTGTACTGTTAATCCTGGCCATTCATCTTATGAATGCATGTTGTTGGCTATTAGGAGGACTTGTCAAGAGAGTATGCTTAGATCACTATACATCTATAAGCCCTATTAGTTGTAAAGACATTCCTATTTCACTGATGTTGGACCCGCAATATTCTCTGCATAAAGGATAACTTCATGAGTGCTAGACATCAAAACTTATTTAGTCCAACCTCTTCATTTTATAGATAAGGAACTGAGGCCCCACAGAAGTTAAGTGATTTGCCCAAGGTCACACTTTTAGTAAGGGGGCAGAGTCAAGATTGAACCCAGGTACTCTGGCTCCAAAATTAACACTCTTTCAATTCCAACATACTACACGCATACATTAAATAAGCTTTAAATGTTAAAATATATAACATCAAAAACAACAACAATAACTCAACCTCAAAACATCAACACAGCCTGACCCTATCCTGACTGATTCTAATTCTCTGTGGGATCTCAGGCAAGTCATTTCCCACAGCTGTAGAATGAGCAAGTTGTGTTAGGTAATCTCTAAGGTTTCTTCTAGCTTTAAATCTGTAATAATATGATCAATTCTATGACTCTGGGACAGAGAAGAAGAGAATACCATCCAAAAGTGATAATGTGGTAAGATACTTCTGTGTCTAAAAAGGTCCGAAGATGTTTACTAAATGACAATTCTTCATGTTGGGAGTGGAACTAGGTTGCATTATGAGAATAATTTCAGCGACTCATAGTTCCTTTAGTGCTCTAAGGTTTATAAAGTGTCTTCTGTCCACAATACTATGCTTCAGGTAACACAAATGACACACTTGACCCACCAGGCAGGAAAAGATGGTCCTTGCAGAGTTTTTTCGGTTGTTGTTTTCCCCCTTCTTCTGCCTAGGATTTTCCCACATGTGGAATGTGCTCCCTCTTCACCTCTGCTTCTTAGAACCTCTTGCTTCCTTCAAGGCTCAGCTCAAGGGCTATCTCCTACATAAAGTCCTAACTTGATTTCCCTTAGTTATTAGGACACTACTCTCTTTCTCAAAATATCTTGCATTTATTTGTTTCCTTGTTGTCCTCTTCCACTATTGCCTACCATATTAAATAAACTCCAGTAGTTCCCAGTTACCTTCAGGATCAAATATAAAATCCTTTGTTTGGCTTTCAAATCCATTCATAACTTCCTTCCCCTCTACTTTTCAGGTATCCTTTTACCTTATTCCTATCCATGTACATTGACACTAGTTTCCTTGTTGTTCCGCAAACAACACTCCATCCTCTGATTAGTAAGTTGCCTCATACATAGTAAGTGCTTAATAGGTGTTAGGTGACATAGTAGGTACTGTACTCTGAGATCCAAACAAACTAGACTTCCCTCTGTTCCTTGCGCACAATGCTCCATCTCTCTTCGTTGGCCATTCCCCCTTCCTGGAACACATTTATTCCTTACCTCTGCCTCACAGAATCCTTCTCTTCCTTTCTGATGCAGTCCAGGGTACCATCTTCTTCATTAATTCTTTCCTGATCCTCTCAATTGCTAGGGCCCTTCCTCCAAAACTACTCTGTACTTCAACTTTGTGTGTGTGTATGCATATACGTATGTACATATGGAGATAAGCATATCTCCATATATGTAGAGATATATAGCTACATATACATATAACATACATATAGGTATATCTCTACAGGTACACAATATACATATGTACACATTTAAATATGTATTTATTAACTTAGATATATTTTACATGTACTTGTCTTCCCCATTAGAATGCAACTCATTGTGAGAAGGGATTATTTCAGTCCTTTTTGAGTTGCATCCTCAGTGCATAGCACAGTATCTGACACATAGCAGGTGCTTAGTAAGTCCTCATTGACTGATTATTTGAGATCGATTATTGAGTCTGATTGATTAGATGCAGGGCAAGGCTGGTACTGAAGGGTAAGCCTGGGCAACATGTTTAGGATGTTAGTGAGCCAGCAGATATCCAGAATTTAGCATGACTGGTGTCTTTGCCCTTTATCCCCTTTCCTAAAAAGAAGGTTTGAAAAGGATGGGTACATGATGAGAGGACTGAAACAAGAGTAAAGAGAGTATCTCATGTAATCCATACCTCAGAAAACTGAAGTCTCCCAAAATCACTGGGTGGGTTGGCAATCTTAAAGACTTTCTTTGGTATAACCCAGGTTTCCAGGGTCTCCAGTTTGCTCACAGCCAGATTTGTTGCATGGTGTTTAATTAGGAAGCCTTGGAAACGGTCAGCAAGGAAATACAGATGAACAGATACAGGATGACCCATTGCATAGTACCTGAAAAATAGAAACACACATTCATGACTAGGAGGAAGCCCAGATCAGAGCCAATGGAGGCTGAGGGCCACTACTTACTGAGCGCTTAGCCTACTGTAGGTTTGAGTCAATGACTCTGGCCTGCTGAACAAAAGTTATGTGTTTTATTGCTGAGTCAACTCCTTGGGCTGTATAAGGAAGATGCAAGGGGGTACTGATGTGAAAGGTGACTGGTCACCAAACACAAACACCTTACTAGATAATTTTGACAAGAGCTGTGGTGCTCAGAATCATTAGGTGATGTATGGTGTAGTGAAATAAGCCCTAGATTTGGACCAAGAGGACATGGCTTCAAATCCAAGCTCTCGCACAACTGGTGTGATATTGGGATGAGTCACTTCATAGGGTCACAGCAGTCAAACTTGAAGATCTCCCCTGGGTTGCTTGATTCAATTTCTCCCTAATATTACAGGTGCAGAAACAAATGAGGCCCAAGATAATTAAGGACTTACCCAACATGATATAGTTAATGCCAGCAAAGGTATCTGAACCCAGGTTTCCTGCCTTAGGTTTGCTGTTTTTCCTACACCATACACTGTCGTTCCTTCATTTCTCCAGCCCTGTTTTCACATCTATAAAATGAGATATCTGGGCTAGATTATCTGGAAAGGCTTTTTAAGCTTTAAACTTTAGTATGTACCACCTGAGGCAAAAATGCCACAGGCTACCACTACACTAAACTATTATTAGCCTTGAGCATTGTAACACAGTGGACAGTCAGGAACTCCGGGGTTCACGTCCTGCCTCTGGGGTCTATGTGACCCTGGAGAAATCACCAAACCTCTCAGTGCTTGAAGGAACTATAGATTGCACAGAAGGTGCCGACTTGTATTAGTAGAAGGGAATCCCTTTATTGGGTCTTCCCTATACCAGTGTAAATCATGGGTGCAGAACAAGTGGTCATATGGAACATGTCATATTGAGAAGAGTCAGAGATGTTAGCATCAAAAAACCTGCTTTTGATTCCCAATTCTGTCACTCACTACCTGTGTAACCTTGGGCAGGCCGCTTAACCAGTTAGGGACTTGTTTCATCAGCTATAAAATGAAAGGCTTGGCAAAGATGACCTCTAAGGTCTCTTTAAACTCTAAATCTATGATCTTATGTCAAAGACCTATTAAGGATCTTTCAGGGACCTGTGGCTGACATGTGGGAGGAAGACAGGCAAATTTCAATAGGTGAGCCTGCCAATATAAAGATCCACTTCTCCCTCCAAACTCCCCATTCAGGGAGCACACATTGACAAGTGAATTCCAATGACATTAAGGTAAGAGTAACAACCACGGTATTTTCTTACAGCCCCTGACACCACACAGTTCTGTACACAGAGCTCCTGGAATAGGCACAGCCGAGCAAGCTATAAACAAGGCCAACACTAATGGACTATGGAAAAACAGCTCACAAAGCCAAGCAGCTAACACTAGCAATCATCTCACTGCTGTTTTGAATCCCAAGACCTACTGGTCTCATAATAGGCAGTGGCAAATATTTACTGCAGTTGAGGAACAGACTGAATCAATGAGATGCAACTAAAGGATCACTTCTGAAAGGGGAGACCCTTACCAGTGGCTGCACCAGTGGGAGTCTGACTCTTATTTTGGCAATATTTCTGACCACCAGAGTACTTATTGGAATTAACCTAAACCTTCTCTTAGTTTCCTAGCTCATATGCACACTTGTCCTTCTTGATCAGTGTGTGAGATGGAGAAAAGAGGAAGGCAATGAGGAACTATTTTAAATAGCCAACTCTTGCTTCTGAGTCAGTATAAACACACCGCCTAGCCTAGTATAAGGCTGGATAGAGATCAAGTTCTTAATATAAGGATTAACTTAACTTAAAATTTTCTAATATATATATTGTGAGCTGGAATGGCCTCAGAGGTCATCTTGGCCAATCCTCTGATTTTAGAAATAAGGAAGCTGAAACCAGAGGACTATGTGATTTGCTTGGGGTGATACAGCATGGCTCAAAGTTGAACCTGCTTCCTTTGACTCCAAGACCCTATCTCTTTTCTATTGTGTCATATAAGCTGCTCCACAGTACAATTCTTATTTTCCTTTTCCTCTCCTCCTTTTCCATCCTGGATTCCTTGCTAAGTCAAGAAGCAACAGATGGATGGGAACCACACAGTAAAAGGTGAGATAGGAAATTGGGAGTAATTATTCCTCTCTCTTCAACTGAAACCCTTACATTAAGAAAGTCTCAGTTCAGTGGCAGAAGTCCCTTAGTGATACATGCAAAAGAAGGCTGGTTTATATGTTTGGCTGTGTAAAGGGCCAGCCCCTCCTCTGCTTAAATTTTATCTCTGATGATTACTACCCTGGGTAGGTCACTGGCAATTCCTGGACATCAGTTTCCTTATTTACAGAATGAGAGTGCTGGCTTAGACAGCCTCTGAGATGCTCTCCAGCTCAACATCTAAAGTCTTATAAGAGTGTCTCCTTGGGCGGGAGTGATGCATGCACTCTGGGAGGGTCAAGAAGGTACCCAGAATACAGATCTGTAAGCTGTGCAAATCTCTGATACTCTCCCACCACCCACCCCTAAGGAAAACGCATAAGAAACGGTTTCTTACTCATGCTGCCTATATAGAATGGATTAATTCTCCCTACTTCTCTACTTTAAAATCAATACAAAAGAAATTCTTATTCTAGGAAGCTACCTGGAATTAATCCCATTTGACCAATTATGCTTTGCCTTTTTCTTCACTGTCTCCACACTCAGTGTGTACTATATTCATTTGCACTGTTTGTTTTAATTTGCTGGTATTATGAAGTTATTTATGCATGCACAGTGTACATTTCCCCCATTCCAAAGTCTTCTTTACATGTATCCTCTGTCCACCCTCTGCTTAGCACCCAATGCAGTGCTCAGGCATAGCCAGAGGAGAAAAGAAAAAGAAAGAAGAAAAGGGGTAAAAAGGAGAGAATGAAGGAGAAAGTGAGGGAAAGGGAGAGAGAGGAAAGAGAGGGTAGGGAGAGAGACACAGAGAGAACGGAGAGAAAGGAGAGGAAGTGAGAGAAAGCTGAGAGAGGGAGAGAAGTTAGAAGAGCTCAGCATCCTTTATAGCTTGTAAAATAAAACGCTGCCTGCTTCGACAAAGTTTAAATTGTTCAGCACTTATACTGTACTTCTTGTCCCATAATAACAGCATTCCAGAAATTACTGTCCCCATTCTATTAAACACAAGTTTCCTTCCAGTTTCCATCAGAAGTCTAAGTTTTAATGCCCAATTACAATGGTTACATAAACTTCCTGTGTTTATCCATTTCCTGAAATCATTGCCTTGTTACAAAGTATGAGATGTGAAATAAAGAAAAAATGAAATATGTGTGCCTCTTAAAATAGCTTTTGGGCAAAGGCAGCTGGGTTAAACTAACTCTTTCTCTCTCTCTGTCTCTCTCTCTCTCTCTCTCTCTCTCTCTCTCTCTCTCTCTCTCTCTCTCTCTCTCTCTCTCTCTCTCTCTCTCTCTCTCTCTCTCTTTCTCTCTCTCTCTCTCTCTCCCCCTCACCCCCAGAGCTCTGACAAGGAAAAAAATAAGGTAAAAACAATGCAACTGTCATTACTTGACACTAGAATCCACAATTGATAGAAGTGTAACCAGGTACTACTCACAGGCTTCAAGGATGTATGTTTTGGTCCTCTGCTGGTCTATCCTAAAGATCCAATGCTATGATGACTAATATGCTTGTACCTTACCTTCCGCTGCAGAAATCCTCCTAAAGAGGGTATAAATCAAAATCTATTGCAAAAGCAATGGGGGAGCTGGGTCTATTTTAAAGACTCTCTGCCAGAGACTCCTTTTGGAAGCCAAACAAACCTTTTCAGAAGGGAAATTATCATTCCTTAATCGATTTGTTTTGTAAATTCAGGTTTTATATGCTGGGATTGCTTAAAATAGAGTATACCATTACCTGGTACAACTCCCAAAGATTTCCAAGCTCCAGCCTGCTTATTTCAAGAATATTTTGCCGAAGGAAAGCCTAGGTCAACAAAAGGATGTGAATTGTCTTGGTAAGTACACTATAAGGAGACATGCAATGTCATGACAATGATAATTTTGTTTGTTTCTTAGCCTAGACCTGTGATTTCATTGGTATAGGGAACTCCCAGGGAGAAAACTCCCTCCATTAATGCAGATTAATGAGTATTATGCAATTTTTTGTTTTAGAGAACTGTCTGGTACACAGAAAATTGAGTTCTAGGGCACTGGGAGTTTAATTGATTTGCCTAGAGTCACACATTCAATGTGAGACATGTAAAGCAAGGATTTCTTAACGCTACAGCTATATCTGAGAGGGAGAGGCCTTAGTATACTAGCTGATGATGGGAAATTCTATTTGTCACTCTAGTTGTTTTGCGTGACACTTGATAATAAGACATTACAAAGCAGGACAGAAGCTCAGGGAAGAGGCAGTATGTTTGGGATTTCTGGTAGGAGGGAAAAAGAGGAGGCTTTACTTGAAGAGAAAGCATAGGACAATGGAAAGCATGCTAGATTTGGAACCAGAGAACCTGAATTCTAATCCTGGCTCTACTACTTCCTACCTACGTGACCTTGGGCAAATCACTTACCTTCCCTGGACCTTAGTTTCCTCATCTGTAAAATGAGGGATTTGGATTATATGATTTCTAAGTCTCTTCCAGCTCTCAGTCTGTGATCCTATGATGTTTCTCTTCCTTTCATTCCCCCTTCCCTCCACTCATGGTACTATATATCATAAAGGAGAGAAGACAGGGAAAGGAAAAGAAGGTAGGAGAAGAAAGAAAAGGAAAAGAGAAAAACAAGGAAGGAAGAGGAGATGAAAAAGAGGAGGGAAGGAGTTGGAGGGGAAGAAGTAAAACCTAGAATTGATGGACTTTTTAAAACAACTAATGGGGGGCAGCCAGGGGATGCAGTGGAGAGAGCACCAGTCCTGGAGTCACCAGAACATGAGTTCAAATCCAGCCTCAGAAACATAACACTCACTACCTGTGTGACTCTGGGCAAGTCTCTTAATCCTAACTGCCTCAACAACAACAATGACAAAAAAATTAATGACTGTATTTCACTATAATTGATTTCCTTACAAATCCTATGTATTTTATTTTATACATTTAAAAATAATATTCTGAAAAGGGGCCCATAAGCTTTACCAGATTGCCCAAGGGGTCCAGGACACAAAAACAGATTAAGAACTCATGAACTAATATATGTTCAGAAATTCAAATACTTTTAATCCCCTTGGAAAAAAATAAAACAAAAGGAAAATCTCCCAAACACCTAAAATATTGATTCTTCCTTTGTTTCCTTCTTCTTCCCCTCTCTCTCATGGCTAACTAGTTTACCCAACCCAGCTTATGTTGTCTTTGGTCCCCATTGTTGGGTGCCTTATAAGGAAAAGCAAAGGGCCACTGGGCTCACCTGCAGCTATTCTCGCCACTGGTGTGTAAAGATGTCTCAGCTCTTCGGAGGCCCAGGCGGGTAAATGAGTGGTACATAGTCAGTGCCACATCACTGATGCTGTGGATCCCATCAGGTTCATCGTAGACATTCTCCCAGTAGGACCGCAGACCTGGGGTGCCCGAAGGATAGTTCCCATAAAGGTAATAGTCCAGCTGGCCAATTATTTCTTGATTCACCACAGCCTCAAATTTACGTGCAAAGAACGTCGGTCGGGCAGTTTGCTGTGCTCATGGGATGGAAAGGAACTGAGTTAATTATTGTCAGAACCAAAGGATATTAGAGCTGTAAATGGCATTAGAGACGGAAAATCCAATCCTTTTATTTAAATCAGGAAACTGAGGGAGAGAGAAGTAAAGGGACTTGCTCAAGGCCAAATAGCTATTTGGTAGCTTATTCTTGTTCACCAGCCTGTAGACCTTTGTAAATAAGGCTTGACAATTACGCCAGCTAGGTGGTGCAGCTGATACAGTGCCAGGGCTGGAATCAGGAAGACTCATCTTCCTGAGTTCACATCTGGCCTCTGACACTTACGGGCTGTATGACCCCAGGCAAGTCACTTAACCTTGTTTGCCTCAGTTTCCCCATTTGTAAAATGAGCTGGAGAAGGAAATGGAAAACCATTTCAATATTTTTGCCAAGAAAACCTCAAATGGGGTCACAAAGTGAAGGAAATGACTAAAATAACAACAACTGAACACCACCACCCAGAACTAGATGCAATACTCCAGATGTGCTCTAACCAAAGGAGAACACATAAGCAGGCATGTTACCACTTTCAATTTGAACACTATTCTGCTGTTAATAAAGCCCAATATAGCATTAGCTCTTTTTGAGCTCACAGTCCACTAAAACTCCCAGGAACTTTTCCTAATTCCTCGACTTTTCTCTATTCTCAACCTTCTTGTCCTTTCTACAGTATTTGATACTGCTGACCATACTGTCCTAAATATTTCTGGGTTTTCATTTCTCCGCTCTGTTCTGATTCTCCTCCAACCTATGTGACTTGTTCTTCTTAGTCTCCTTTGTAGTATCATAATCCATGTGTCAACCTCTGTGGGTGTTCATACCTCCAAAGTCTATCCTGGGACCTCTTTGCTCTCCCTAGGTGATCTCACCACCTTCTAAGAAATCAGCTGTCATCTCTATGCAGTGATTCTCAAACCCACACATTCAGCCCTTATCTCTTGCCTCAGCTATGTACCAACATTTCCAGTCGCTGCTAGACATCTCCACTTGGATGTCCTATATACCACATATATTGAGAAAACTCAACGTATCCAAACAAAATTTATTATATTTCCCCCTATGCCCCATCTTCTTCCAAATGTCTATTTTGAGAGTTCCACCCATTCTTCCCAGTCACCTAGGTTTATACTTTAGAACACATTCTTCACTCTTCACTCATTCACTCTCCATAGCTAATTAGTTGCCAAGTCCTGTATCTCTCACATCTGAACACTTCGCTCTATTCACAGCATGTCACCTCTTGCCTGAACTACTGTCATAGATGTCTAATTGGCTTCCCTTTCTAGTCTCTCTCCTTTCCAATCTATCATCCAATTAACATTCCTAAAGTACAGGTCTGACCATGTTACTTCCCTGCTCAGAAAGCTTTATGGTTCCCTTTTGCCTCTGGGAAATATAAATGGCACCTAGGTGGTGCAGTGGATAGGCTGTGAGGCCTAGAGTGAGGAAGGCTCATCTTTCTCTGACTTCAAATCAGACCTCACACACTCCACTGACTATGTGACCCTGGGTAAGTCACTTAACCCTGTTTACCTCAGTTCCCTCATCTGTAAAGTAAGCTGGAGAAGGAAATAGCAAATCATTGCAGTATCTTTGCAAAGAAAACCATAAATGGGGTCATGAAGAGTCAGACATGTCTGAACAATATAATGATACTCCTGTATGTATGTATATATGTGTGTGTGTGTGTGTGTGTGTGTGTGTGTGTGTGTGTGTGTGTGTGTGTGTGTGAGTGAGAGAGAGACAGAGAGAATGAGAACACAAAAATAGGCCAAGGAGAAGGGCCCTCTTGTCAGAAAACTGGAACAAATAAAACGTGAGGATGTGGGTGGAAGACGTAGAGTGGGGGAGATCAGAGACCTCTCCTTAGTAAAGTAGGTGAGTTCTGATGAAATTTTTTTTTTAAATGGAAGGAAAGGGGGTACTGTTAGGGAGCTTCAGGACACAAGATATGGAAGAAGTGCTTCAGGGAATACGATAGACAGTCAATCAGTAAAGAATAAAAGGATTATTATGCAGCACTGAAGTCCCATTGAGATGATATAATGAGAATTCTTAATCCAAACTGGAATGGTTGCATGACTTCCTTCAGCAGTGTTCAGCAGCACAAATCAGATGGTACAAGTGAATGAGGTTTAAAAATTGGCATTGCATGAACTGTGATAGAACAAGAGGGCAAGGGATTCAAGGAAATGTGCCTCCCAAAGTTCTATCCTGGGCCCTCTTCCCCTATGCTGTCTCACTTGGTGATCTTACCAGCTTCCCATGGGTTCAGGTAGGATCTCTATGCATATGGTTAGGCAGTTAGGCTCCGTGGATAGAGTGCAGAGCCACGAGTAAGGAAGAACTGAGTTCAAATCCCTCCTCAGACACTTACTAGCAGTATGACCCTTGGCAAGTCCCTTAACCTCTATCTGCCTCAGCTTCCTCATCTGTAAAATGGGGATAGTAATAACATTTTCATTTTCCTCCTAGGGTTGTTGTAAGGCTCAAATGAGATTACTAATTTAAAGTGCTTAGCACAGTTTCTGCCACAAAGCAGGTACTATATAAATCTTAGCTATTCTTCTTCTTCCCAGATCCATTCCTAACCCCACTCCTGAGCTCCAGCCCTGCAGTCTCAACTGCTTTTTGGACATCATGAATTGGATGTCCCATGCACATCTCAAACTCAACATGTCTATAACAAAATTCATTATCTTTCTCCCCAAACTCTCCTGTCTTTCCAGCTTCCCTATTACTGTTAGGGAATCACTATGCTCCCAAGAACACAACCCTCAATGTCATCCTCAACTATTCACTTACACTCACACTGCACCCCCTACCCCCATCCAATCTGTTGCCAACTCATACCTTATAACTCCATAATACAGCTAGTATATTCTCTTCTCTCCACGCACATGGCCACTCACCACCTCATCACCTGACAAATGCAATATCCTTATAATTGCTCTCCTTGGTTCAAGTCTCTCCCTCTTATCCATTCTCCACTTAGCTGTCAAGGAGATTTTTCTGATGCTATCACAACCTCCCCCCAGTGCCAAGTTGTCTGTATTCTGTTCTTCAACATCTTACAAATACTTATTTATGTATATGCCATGTCTAAAAGCAGGGTCCATGTTGATTCTATCTTTCCCAGAATACACCACAGTGCATACAAAATACATGTAGTAGGCACATAATGCACGTTTCTCTAATTGAATTAAAGCTTCAAGTTATCTTCAGATGTAGTTATACTATTTAAGCCTTCATTTAAGTGACTGATAAAAGTGTTCAACAGAAGAGGGCCAAGCACAAAGACTTAGGGCATTCTATTATCTACATCTAATCTATCTGTCTCTATCTCTCTATATCCCTCTGGGTTGACAGTGACCATTTGTCACTTTTTAAGGCTAGTGTTGTGGCTGCTGTAAACTAATGGAATTAATTTCTGGAGATGCTCTTTCTTGTAAGCCTTTTAAAATATCATCTACTTGAGAAACTATAGCTATTCTCCTGCGTGGAGGCAGGGGGAAGAACTAAATGACCCTCGAAGGTCCTTCTCCTTATATGATTCTCTGGTCACGTCCAGATTTTCTAAAAGGGCATTTTTCTATATTTATCAACCTCTTACACTGTTTTCTTTGAATGCTAACTTCAAGCTCTTTACAGACAACAGATTCTTGATTTTTGACATTTGGGAATATGCTTGATCTTTAGGACACATGCAGGCTATTTTACTGTGAAAGGAAGTGAGGTGTGTGTATGTGACTGTTAGTTCAATTCAGCAAGCATTTGTTAAATCCCTGTGTGCCAGGCACTGTACCTGGTGCTGAGCAGTAAAAAAGAAAAATAGCAAACACTCTCTATGTTAAGTTGCTATTGGGAAAATACACACACACATTAATTCATGGAAGGGAGGGCTTACTGATTAGATATGATGGGTGAGAAAGAAAAAAGACTTGATAATGACTCCAAGGTTGTGGACTTGGGTGAATAGAAGGATGGTGGTAATCTTAATAGGGAAGGCAGGAAGAAAGGAAGATCTGAGGGAAAAGATAGCATGAGCTATGTTTTGGAAGTGCTGAGCTTGAGAAGCTCAAGGTACATTCATTTGGAGATGTCTAACAGGCAGTAAGTGATGTAGAACTGAAGTTCAGGAGAAAGACTTAGAGCGGGATATATAGATTTTGGAACCATTTGCATAGAGATGAAAATTGAACCAATGGGAACTGATGAGATCACACAGAGAGAATGTAGTAGTTCCTTGCATTTTTTTGTTCTGTTAACTCTTTTCAACAAAAGCAACGCTTTGTAAACTCCTAGGTTCTCTTTATAATAATTATCTAGCTAGCATTTAACTAAAATGTTTTGCATAATATTCTGTAATTACTTATTACTGGTATCATAAGAGAATTATTTGCACCAACCCTTTGGACCATCTTGAACTTTCAAAGGGTTTGTAAATCACTAAATGAGAGTCACTAGTGTAGAGACAGCTCCTATGTGGCACAATGAATAGAGCACTGGGCCAAAGCCAGGAAGACTCATCTTCCTGAGTTCAAATCTGGCCTCAGGTACTTACTAGCTGTGTGGCTCTGGGCAAGTCATTTAACCCTGTTTCCCTCAGTTTCATCATCTGTAAAATGAGCTGGAGAAGGAAATGGTAACCATTCCAGCATTAGCATTAGCATTCAGCATTAGCATTCCAGGATCTTTGCCAAGAAAACCCCAAATGGGGTCACAAAGAGATGGACATCACTCAACAACAGAAACAAAGTATAAAGAGAGCAGAGGCACAGAGTCTTACTTTACCCTTCTTGCATAGGAGAATGGAAGGTAATTTTTCAAAGGATAGTGAAAAGGAGTGACTAGATATACAGGAAGGGAAGTAGAGTTATGAGAAACCAGGGAGGAATGAATTTCTAGGAAAAAGGGGATAGTTAACAATGTCAACTGTCAAAGAGTTAACACTTCCATGAAGTTAGAATTGTAAGAAAATAATACTAATTCAGGCCAATCAGAAGAAGGCAATTATGATCAGATAAAAAGTCTGAATGATGTACAGTTATACAATCAAGTGGTGCCAAGCTAAGGCACCACTTGATTGCATAACTGTTACATCAATTACTCTCATTTAAATAGGTTCTGCTAGGTGTCTAAAACCAATTCATTATTTTCTTGAGCAGGTCAAACATTCACTGTGCAATTTTGTTCATGTTATATAAATTTCCTTAATAGATCATACCCTTGAGAACAATGAAAGAAGACATTTCAGCCCAGTTCTTATCTCAATTAGCACAAATTCCGAATTAGTAGGGCCTGAACTAATTAGATTTAATGGTACCGTGAAATTTGCCCTCAGAAATCAGTTCATCAGAGACAGCTGAGAAATTGATGGGGGTGGATGTGTGTAAAACTTGAGGGAGCAGAAAGGAAAAGGCTGAGTACCTGTCTTCTTTGGTTCACACATTTTAGTCTTTCCTTTCCTAATCAAGGTAGAAAGGGAAGAACATGCCAGGAAACCTATCGTGTGTACATAGGCTCGACACCAAGAAAGCAAGGAAATATCGTAGTGAGCTTTATGAGAACTCTTTTGAAACCTTCAAAGAGAACAGCAATTCTCTAAATAAAGAGAAAAATGAAAATAGCAAAATGCTGGACAATACAGTCTAGCTACCTGGCAGCCAATTTACTCAAGTGAATATCTAGAATAATAAACTGCACCCTCAGAGTCTCTGAATACAGCTTCTGAAGGGAGATGGGGAGAAGAAAAATGGGGAGGCTCTTTGGATTGCTCATTATTCTTAGGCTCTGGGTTGTATATTAATGGCCTCATCTGTCTGGGGAAGGGGACATATTTAGGACCTATTGGGAATAAGGTGGGGGATTAGGTAGCATCAAGAGGACACAGTATGGGACTGTGGGATCCAGAGGACCTCTGCAATTAATGTGACCTTGGCCAAGTTACTTTATATCTCTGGGGTTCAATTTTTTTCATCTGCAAAATAAGGGAGATTAGACTAAAGTGCCTCTCAGCTCCTCTCAATTTATGATCCTATGACCCCACTGGTCTGTGGTCCCTATATCAACCTTTGCCTCATTTTCTTCTCACTGGGTTCAGATGACAAATCAGCCCATTTTTTCCCCAACTCTTTCCTTTACATTTGTCTAGATTCCATGGTTTTCAGGGTTAAAAATTCTGATGATTATTTCAGGAGAAGGTTATCATTACCATTAATCTGAATTGTTATCAACCATAGTCATAAGGATGACATGAACTCTTGGGATTGGGATAGTTTTCCCAACATCAAACAGGGAAAGCAAAAGGGACCAATTGGAACATAGGGTATTTTCAGCCCTCTCTCCTAAAGGGCACTGGTTGACTATAGAGAGCAAAGGAACAGGTGGGTAGAGAAATAATTTTGCAGCCTGGTGTGAAGCCAGAAGGGATCATGGCAGCTTGGGAGTCATCTGACTAATCAAAGCGCTTTTAAGCTAAGACAATTTCCCAAAAGCAAGAAAGGATTTGGGCTTATGAGACATAAGAGGGGGTAGTAGAAAGGAAAAGCATATGGTGAGTCTTGGGTTATGTTCTCCCACTCATTGAAATCCTCTCAGTGACCCACATCATGCTGGGCCCAGCTGGAGAAAGCACAGTCCCCAGATGGGAAATGGTGCTTTCTTTACCTGGATTTTCAGGGAAGGTTCCTTGTCAATGAGAGTGTAAAAGTCTAAATCAGTTTTAGGGGATTAAAATGGGGACAAAAACAGTGAAATCTCTACCTGTTATTCAAGGAAGATGGGTAGAACGTAATCAGGTTAAATCAGAGTAAGGGGTTAGGCAAAACACCCGTTGCAAGGTAATCTGTCTAGCACCATAATTTAACATTTGCAGTGGCTGTTTGGAAAGCAGCACACAGATTCCACAGTCTGCTCTGTTGACCTGAAAGTAATTTGTTTAATCTTTCTTGGAGCGAGTGAAATATAACCTAGAGAATTTCAATCCTACTCAAGTAATGAGTCGAAAATTTCCCCAATACAAACTCATAGTTTTCGGGTTCTGTTTGTGTCTACACGCAGCAAGTGGCAAGGATGTGAGCCAGGAGGAAAAAAGGAAGAAGACTTCACAGTCGGCTTAATACCAGGGCACCATTCATGTGAGTATGGTGTGGGCAGGAAGAGACACAGAAGAAATGTCTGAGAGAGGTGGCGGCAAGAGAATAAGAACTGGGAGGGGAAAGTTTCGTGGTTTCAGGCATAAAATCTATAAGACTGTGACTAGGGAGAAAGGGAGGGAGAAGATGAGGGAGAAAGAAAGGGAGAAGAGAGGAGAAGCTTGGGAGAGAGTGGAGAAGAGAGACAGAAGAGATGGAAAGAGAGGGGAAAATAAAACAAGAGGGGGGGAGAGGGAAAAGGAGAAGAGGACAAAAGGGGAAAGTAAAGAATACAAGCAAAGGAGACTTGCGATTTCAAATGCTTTCAAACTATCAGCCTGTTCATCTCTTTCCCCTATAGCTTACATGGGCTGTGAGCTCTATGAGAACATGGGACTGCTTTGTCTCATGCCCATATTCCAAAGGGATATGGGTGTGTGGATACCTATTTTTGAGTACTCCAACGATACACGCTAAATGGTTTTTGAGGCAATGTCTATACTATACAATGAAAGACAAGCTGGAAAATGCAAATTTTAATCAATCAGGTAGCAGCTGAGTATTTAATAAATGCTTTATTTCATTCAAAATCCCATGTGATTTGAAAACCAAAACATTCCTCCCTGGCTACCATTTCCCAGTATGTGTTCAAACTGCTTGAAGGCAGGTACTATTTCACTTTTATATTTGCACCCGCAGTACTTGGCACATAGAAAGGTGTTTGAAAATGGTTTTCACTCATTTATTCATGATGAGTCACACAATTCCAAAGAACTGTCTAGGTTGATTTGTTTTTCTTTCACTGAATTAACTGGTTATTTTGGCATTCTGCAGAGCTGTTCTAAACCAAAACAGTCTGGTTTGACCTTATTTGAGGGCATTTTTAAGACCTACTAGGGATACCATTAACACTCAAGGATGGTGATGATTTTCTCATTTTAGATTTCTATCACTCTAGGCATTGGGGCATTGTACTTTTTCATTTATGGAATGGTCTGAATACCACAAGAGATAGGTACCATTCTCAATACAACCTTTGCAGCAATGTGAATGTGGGACAAGGAGACCTATCAGTTAAGACATGAGAAGATGTCACAGAAACAGCCTGAGATGATGTCAGGCTACTGTGGTCTGGATTCTAAATATTAGACCATGACATGTTAGGACAATCACTGCCTTCATGCCTAAACATGAATGAATGAATGAATAAAAAGTATGTTTTTAGCCTTTCCTATGTGCCAAGCAATAAATACAAATACGAAAATGAAAAAAATCCCTTTCCTCAAGAAACTTACATTCTAATAGGGGTATTCATATAGGGGAATAGTGACCAGGAGGGCTGTCTAAGTTTGAAAGCACCAGGGATGGTGAATGAATATTATTTATTAAAAATACTTATTATGTGCTAAGCATTGGTGATACTGCTGCTACACAGAAGATGTGGCTATAAGTAATAAGTGCCTTTATAAGCCACACACACAAAATTGGTCTCATTTCTTTATAATCAGTCTCAGATATGTTAGTTTCCTTAAATAACAAAGAATGTATGTTTGTGTGCACATACATTTGATGTTACACGAGGTAAAAATCATAGCAGAAGATAGAAAAGCCAAGGCCTTGTTTTATTTTGCTGTGTTTTTTTTTTCCTCCATGTTTTCCGGGTTTTATGGCCTATCAAGAGCCAGCTGTTGATGTGCACATCTGGCTGCAGATCATGAACTACACATCTGGCTTCTTCTACAACTGAGTTTCAGGTACTTGTCCATTTCTTAAAATGAGAGCATCTGTTCCTACAAGACAAACCAACACAATATATGTGCCTCTTGCCACGGCCAATAGAGTGAGTCCTTATTCCTCGCTTCAGCCCCCATGCCCAACACACAGACCCAAAAGGGCCCAGGTGTCGGGCCATCAGCTCACCTGGAACCGATGGAAATCTGCTGGCTTGAAGTCATTGGGGGAGCAGCCGCACCAGTCCACGATATGCTTGTACTGGCACTTGCAACCCAGCTTCCGGTTCCAATTGGTGATGCGTAGGTTGTTGTCGACCATGGTGTCACAGTGGGGGCTGTTTTCCAGGACGGTGTGGAAGAAGGACTGTGAGGAGACACACAAGGCAGCTTGAGAACTGACTGATCTTTCCTCAAGAATGGAGTTAGGGGCAGCAGCTACAAAGATGATCTTTTAACCCATCCAATTGCTCCCCTTTGGAGAGGAGACCTCTTGTGTTTATCTAACATAGCTCTGCTATGGAGGGACCCTCAGAAGGCAACGTAGCACAGGCAGAAGGCAACGTAGCACAGGCAGAAGGCAGCATCAGACTCCATTTGGTTCTCACACCTGCCTTGTAACACCTTCAGCCAGGAGATGATTCTACATATTCAAGTCTTAGCTGCTCAGCAATAATTATGTGAGCAGGCGGTGCTACTTCATCAATGCTTTCCAATCCACATGTTGTGTGTGTGTGTGTGTGTGTGTGTGTGTGTGTGTGTGTGTGCACGCACGCATGAGCGCGCACGCGTAAACTCAATTGAAGTAGGCTTTCATATAAGTGCCCTGTGAGGCACTTAAAGTTCCCTTGGAGACTGAGAGGCAATGTATCATAGCGGATAGAACTAGAATGGGTCTGAGTCAGGAAGGCCTATGTTTGAATCTCACTTCAAATACTTATGAAATAGGTGACCTTGGACAAGTCATAATCTCTCTGAACCTCAGGTTCCTCATCTACAAAATGGGGATCATCACCAGCACTTAGTTTATGTAGATTAAATGAAAAAAAATGTATAAAGCAATCTGCAATACCTTCTGCCATAACAAAGTTATAAAGTGGTATTACCTCACATGTCAGTTATTTTTATTGTTATTATGAATGCAAGAAAGATTTCCTCCTCTCCCTTCCCCCAATTAGACTGTGTTCTACACTGGCAGAGTAAAGGAAGACCCTGAGGCAATTATCTGGATAAATGTAGCCAAAGACCAAATGCAGTTTTGAGCCCCAAATCATCCTTATGCAATTGCTGTGATGCTCTATATTTGAGTAGTCACAGATGAGAACAAGAAGAAGAGGATCAGTCTGAACACATACTACTGTCATTGGCTTTATCTTTCCATTTCTGTACACTCATGACCTGTAAAGGAGATAAGGTAAAGGAGATAAGGAGGTCAGAGGCCATTTCAGACAGAAGAGCAGAGCTCAAAATTCACCTTTGCTGAACACCTATTTAGAGAAGGGGCTAACCTTCATCGTTTTTAAAAAAACTTGAAAACAGACGATAAATAAGCAGCAGTACATGATCAGGTCTAACTCTCCCTGCCATCTCCTGACCCTCATTTAATGTTAAACGACAGGCTGGTGAATTTGGATGTTATGCTCGGATTGTCTATAAACACATAGAATCACAATCTCTTACTGAAGCAATGGGAAAAACTACCCAATTATCCTACACACCATGTCCCTTCTTACGGATACAGAAATTCCCTGCAAGATAATGGATAAAAAGGTTATCAGGGTTGAGAGAAAAGGTGATTTTAGCTGAAATAGGATTAAAAGCAGATTACTTAACATGTGTACCGAATAATAATAATAATTAAAAAAAACAACAACCAGGCACATTATGACAAGTGCTATAATTCCCCTGAATGACCAAAGGGCAGTTGTCCCCCGATCAAACTCATCATCCTCCCAGAAAACTCGGGGTTAGTGGCCAAGGAGCTCTAAAATCATTAAAAGATATTCATCAAGTTAAACACAGAACAGGAAGGCAGCTAGGGCAGGGGAAAAGATTAGGGTGAATGGGGGGGAATAGGGGAAGACAACCACCTGACCATTCCTGGAAGGCTACCATCTGGCTTAACAGAAATAGAACCTGATGTACAGTTTTAGGGTATACAACTGAGGGAAGAGAATTTTGAGATCTCTTAGCACAGCTTAACAACCTCTCAGCACAGCTTAACAATCTCTTAGCACAGCTTTGAAAGAGGAAGCAACCAAGGTTTTTATATAGATAATATTAAAAATAGCTGCCAATTATACAGCACTTGAAAGTTTACAAATCATAGTACATATTACTTCATTTGGGACTCATAACAACTTATCCTATGAGGTAAGGACTACATATATTATCATCTCCATTTTACAGATGAGGAAACTGACACATAGATGAAATGTTAGAAGTAATATTTGAATCCACATCTTCCTGACTTTAAGTGTAGACTCTATTGCTTAGACTACACTGCCTACCACATTGAGGCTGTATGTTCATATTGCTTCTAGGTGGAGCAGTGGATAGAGTGCTGGGCTTGGAGTTAGGAAGATCTGAGTTCAAATCCAGCATCAGACACTTACTGGCTATGTTACCCTGGGCAAGTCAATTAATCTTTATCTGCCTCAGTTTCCTCATCTGTAAAATAGGGATCATATTAGCAGCTACCTCTCAGAGTTGTTGTTAGGATCAAATGAGATAATATTTATAAAGCACTTAGCACTATGCCTGACACATAGCACGCACTATATAAGTACTTATCTCCTCTCTTCCTCCTTTTCTATCCACATGGCACCACAACATGGGTACTTCTAGGCTTGGGTAAGCATGTCTTTAATTCAAAGTGGTCTCAATGACTACTACTCTGAAAACAGTAGCCTGTAAGTAAATGTTTTGAGGGCTCAATGAATTTTTCACTTTTCATGTGGATTTTTGATATCCAGTTTCACATAACTAAAACTTCTTCACTTTTCCTGAACCTGCAATGAAAGGAAACAAATATCTACCTCAGCAGGAAGCAAGGTGTAAGAGTAGAACTGCTTCATTTTGGTCACCAGGTCATCGTTGGAGAAGGTCACATATTCCACAAACTTTCGGTTCAGCAGGAACCAATCAGAGCCTCCATCCACTGTGATGCCTTCAGGGATCTTCCGGTCACCCAAGCGCCACATGTGAGTGTCACACTCTAAGAAGAGGCGGTCCAGTCCTTGTTTCCGAATAAACCTGGGAGAGATAAAGAAAGCAATCACAGGCATGCCAGCTGAAAGGAGGCTGTGCTCAGAGCCTCAAATAAAATGATAGTAATGAGCTTGTATTTCTATTTTTGAGGTAGTGTAGAATTGTGGTTTGAGAACTTACTTCAGAGTCAAGTGTTCAAGTCCTCTCTCTGACACATAATGACTGTATGACCATGGGCAAGTAACCTAAACTTTTAGAGCTTTAGGTAACTCACTAAAACTATAAAGTACAGGGGAAATGTAGCACTATAATAAATGGTACATGTTAAATGAATGAAACAATTAGCAAAGGCTCTAGGAAATATGAAAAAAGATAATTTCTGTCTCGGTCATCATAGAAAAATTTAAGCAAGAGACTAAATTCACATAGGATTTAAGTAAAGAAACTATTCCCAATAGGATAGAGGATATCATTGACTTATACTACAGATGTTGTGATATACTCAGTATTTATTTTTAAATCTCTTCTTACATTTAGCCCTAAATATTGCACTGCTCATGAAGCACTCATTCTCCTTCCCTACCACTGTTATCAATCCTTGCTTTGACTTCCAGGGTTCTCCAAATCTTGCCCTACTCACAGATGCAAATCCTTTGGAAGAAAGGTGGGTTGTTGTTGTTGTTATTGTTTTATATAAATTCACCAATAATTAAGTGAAGAAGATAAGACAAAACCAATTTATGGAGTTCAAAACTGTTAAGCTGCAAAACTCAGAAATCTTAAGATGGCCTTGATCTAAGTATAAATAACTTGTACAACCTCCTGGGGGTTTATTCATCCCTGTGTCCATCTACCTGGTATCTATCTACCTACCCACTTGACTCTAGCATAGTGATGTCATTTTGGTCCTCTTCGAGAACCAAGGACAGCAGCAAACCAACCAACCACCTAACCTACCCCCCTCGCTGTGAGGCTACCCACTAGGATTCCTCTAGTCACAGCATGCACGGTCATGACCAGCCAGTGCTGCAATCCATTTCCTTTTCTCTTTGGCTTCAAGATGAGCTTCCTCATTAAATTTTAGAACCAAGGTGATTCAGGAGACATTTGTTAGCCCTCAGCCCTTAGATCATTTACAGGTCTAAGGAATACTTACATTGGCTAAGCCCAATTCCACATAGAAACCCAGACACTTAGAATGGAATAGGATCTCTGAGGTGATCAGGTCACCAGCATGGAAGGATGGATGAAAATAATAGTAAATTTGTTTGCATTTGTCTCAGATCAGCTGCAAGCTCTGCCTGGCTCCTTGTGCTTGGATGGAAGTCAGAATTTATATCTCACTTGCTTTTTAATTAGCAGTTGTAAGGGAAATGATCTTCTCATCTAGCTAGTAATAGCAGAGGGGATATACCAAAAAGGGGAAATCACAAGTAAAAAAGTAGCGTTAGAAAAAAACAAGAGATGTTTTGGGGGGACTGACAGTGGTGGGGTTCTGAGCCAATCTGTGAGGTAATACCATAGCCCTTGCCTTCTGAATTCCACAACAGAACCTCACGTCAGTGTTTGTTTACATACGTGTTTAAAGAGTCCATGGCAAACCCCAACTAGGACAGCCCAGACACTCATTAGCATAAATGACACAGATCAACCAATCAATTTAATAACAAGCATTTCTAACTACCTTCTATGGTAGGTACTGAGGATACAAATACACAAAATGAAAGAGTCTCTTACACTTTTACATCTACTCTCCCAATGGTCTTTGGTTGTAAAACTGGGGCAAACACAATTTCCTATCTTGTCAAGATGGAAACCTAAGTCCAGAGGTGGTAAGTAATTGACCCAGGACCACAAAGCAAGCCAGAGCTAGAATTAGTATGCAGTTCTCAACTCCTTGGTCTTTGTTCTATCCACCAGGTTTCCTATCTGGTAGATTCCGTCTTTTCTATTTTGCTTCTTAGCATAATAAGCCCTAACTAAAGGATGACTCAATAAATATTTTTCATTGCATTTCCTTCTAATAACTACTATGGGATGTATTCTCCTCTTCATCTGGTACTTTAAGAAGCAGTCATTGAATTTGGTAAGAAAAAATTATAACTTTATTTTGACTGGTATCTAATTACGCAACAATCTCCAATGGTATTTCACCATTCCTGACATTTTAAATTAAAAACAAAATATAACTTACTAACTCTAAATAGTACTTCTCTACAGAATAAACAGAAGAGAAGAAAGAAATGCAGGTAAGAAGGCTTGTGAAATTATTCTTTCCACGAATCAGCTTCTAATTTCATGTTCCATTATAAAGGATAATAGCACAGTCTTACAATTTTAATGTGCTGTCCCAAACCATAATATTCAAATACAATATTTATATGGTAATCTAGAAAATGAAATATTCATGGAGTTGGAAGATTGGTTGCTGTATTTACTTCATTGAAAAATAATAAGCTGCAAATGCACATTTTGGTTAATTATGAGTAAATAGCCCCAATCAATTACCCATGTCTTAGAAAACTTCCCAGGGAGGCAGAGGACAATGCCAATGGCAGCTCCCAGACCTATGGCCGAGGTTTTGTGCTATCAGGAAATAAATCAAACACTTCGATGAAAACTTTTGGGAACCCACTTATCCAACGGTAGACCCAAACCAACCAACCAACCAACCAATCTTTTCAGCATTATTTATATTCATTTGCTAAAAACAGCTGATTCTATCCCTGATTTTGAAGGTAGGGGGAGAGGGGCGAGAAGGTATTTAAGTTATCATGATGTACTGGGAAGCAGAATGACTGACTCAGAAGCCAGAAAATCAAGGGTCTGGTGCTGGCTGTATCATTTACAAGCCATTTTTTTAGGTCAAGCCACCCAATTATTTTGAAATGCAGTTTCCTCATCTCTAACATGGAGATAATACTTCCTGCTATGGCTCCCTTTATTGACTCAGGTCACTTCAGCTTAATTCAGCTTAACACGATTCAATTTAAAAAATTATTAAACACCTACTTGTGTTTAATGGAATTGCTAGGTGCTCCTTTAGAAAAAGGAAAATTAGTCCTTGCCTTCAAGGACTTTCTATTGGGAATTTCTAAAATATTTTCCACTTCTATCAGTCACTGTAATAGAGAAGATTCTTAAATGTCCTAATTGTAGGTATGCTAATCACTCTTTTGTAGAATCATAGTTAGAAAAGGGAAAGTAGGCCAGGAAAAGTATATAAAATAGAGCCAGTTTGATTTTAGAAACATGCTAGAAAAACATACAATTTTTATAAATTTTAAACATGGCAGAATTGTGAAGTTTAACAGAATTTTAGAGTTGAGGGTGGGTAGAGGACCTTAAAGGTTAGATGGTCTAACCCTATCATTTTAGGGATGAGTGAATTTGATGTCTCAAGTAAATACTTAGCTTTTTCCTTTGAAAAAGAGAAAAGCATTCTGAAAATTATTATTTAGTATGGAATGGGGAAGGGGAGTTATACAGCCTTGACCTGCTTTTGGCACCTCTCACTGTGCTACCTGATGGTGAGTCCACAGGTACAGATATTGGTTTCCTGCCAATGCAGAAGTTGGGCATCTAGGTGGCACAGTGAATAGAGTGCTGGCCCTGGAGTCAGGAAGACTCAACTTCATGACAAAAGAAAAATCTATTAGAGGAGGTACTCTTTCTCTACATGACAGATTCCTGTTCCTCCATGCTTCAGAGTAAATGGTTTCCAGAGTTACTACAGTAAATACATAGATGCATATATATACATATACACATACATGTCTCTGGGGGCAGCTACATGGTATTGTGGATTGAGCACCAGGCCTGGAATCAGGAGGATCTCAGTTTAAATTTGACCTCAGACACTACCTATATGACCTTGTACAAGTCACTTAACCCTATATAATCAGTTTCCTCATCTGTAAAATGAGATGGAAAAGGAAATGGCAAGTATCTTCCCTAAGAAAACCCCAAATGGGGTCAGGAAAAGTCATACACGACTAATCTTTCTATAATTATTAATTCCTTCTGTCGAGGGTTTGCATAGCCATTGGAATAGGTTACACCTGTCAATCAGCAGTAGGTGTTAAGATAATAGATCTAGAGTAGAAAGGGATATTAGAAATCATTTAGTCAGCCCCTTCATTTTTTTTTTATTTTACAAATGAGGAAACCAAGGCTCAGAGAGCTTAAGTGATTTTCCCTGGGAAATACAGGTCCTAAGTGGCAGAGCTGTATTTTAACTCAAGAACCTTTTGACTTCTAACCCAGAAAGTAATCATTCTACTTTGTTCTTAAGCATCTGATTCCTAAGCAAGTAATTAGCACAGGGCACTAGGGCAACGTGTGTATATCTTTTAGAGTGGGGGTGGGATCCTTTGTTCAGACTAGTTTGACTGTCACGAATAAATTTCCAGTTTTTTGGCAAGAGTGAGGAAGGGAATAGCAGAGCTTATTGCTTTTGTAATGAATATTGTATCACTAAATATAAGCTCTTTGAGGTCAGGAACTGTGTTTTTTTTTTCTTTCCTTCCTTCCCTCTAATGCCTACCACAGAATTTTGCACAAAGTAAGCACTTAGCAAAAAAAGATTTTTGTTTTTTTAAACCCTACTTTTGCAAACCCCATTTACAAAGTACCCTGGACATATCTCATTCAGTTCAACAAGCATTTTTAAGTATCTACTATGAGGGCATGTAGAGGATTTGTTGGTTAGTGTTTTCAGTTGTGCCCAACTCTTTGTGGTTTTATTTTGGGGTTTTCTTGCAAAGATAGTGGAGCGGTTTGCCATTTCCTTTTCCAGCTTATTTTACAGATAAAGAAACTGAGGCAAACAGGGTGAAGTGACTTGCCCAGGGCCACACAACTGCTAAGTCTGAGGTAAAATTTGAACTCAGTTCTTCCTGACTTCAGGCCCAGCGCTCTATCCTCTGTGCCACCTAGATGCCCTTAAGCACTGGAAGCAAAAAAGACATAGTTCCTGCCCTCAAGGAACTTCCCAACATACTGTTTCAGGGAAGATAAGAAGAGTCCATAAAGGTTTCCTGAAT